GCCAAAGCAAATGGAAAAATTGAAGAGGTGCAAGAGCTGAACAGGAAATTTCAAAGATCAGCTTGAGAAGATAAAGCCAAATACTATAATAAAATATGCAAAGATTTAGAGTTAGAAAACCAAAAGGGAAGAACACGGTCAGTATTTCTCAGCTGGGGGAGCTGAAGAAGAAATTCAAGCCTCGACTTTCGATATTGAAAGATTCACTGGGCAAATTATTGAATGATGCAAAATGCATCAAGAAAAGACAGTAGTAGGACGGATGAAAAATAGGACCTATCAATAGCCTATCCACAAGCAACACATCTTTAAACACAAAGACAAAACAGACTAAGACTCAAGGAATAGAAAAAAATATCAAGCAAATGGTAATCAAAAAAGGGAAGGAGTGGTAAGATTAATTTCTGAATTTAAGGCTAAAATTTACATAAGAGACAAGGAAGGGCAGTATCTCATGATTAAATGGTCAATTGAACAAGAGGACATAAGCATAATACATATCTATGCAGCCAATCAAAGAGCCTCAAAATACATCAATCAAATGAAACTGAAAAAAAGAAATAGTCAACAATAGTAAGAGACTTTATTTTGTCATTTTCTTTTTTTTTTCTGGCTGTAGAATTGATTTTAATTAACTTTTAGAAAAGACAAATACATCTTTTGATAATATCTCCTTGCTGTCAACAAACTTTTGTATTTCCTTATTGGAAAATGTTTTAGGTTGAACTGCAAACCATTGATGCACCGCTGTCTTCACTTCTTCATCAGAGGTGAACCTTTGTCCTTGAAGGGCTGCTTTCAGGGGTCAAACAGTTGAAAGTTCAATGGAGCAAGATCAGGACTATAGGGAGGATGCTTTAACACCTCAAAATGATGTTTGTGCAGTGTCAACAGTGTTGGCAGAGGTGTGCGGATGTGCATTGTTATACAAGAGCACAAAGCCCTTGAATTTGATTTTCTGCATCTAATCCAAAGTTTAAGCTTCAGCTCTTCAGTGAGCATCTCACTCGAATGAGCACTGTTGATTGTTGAACCTTTTTCCTGATAGTGTTCCAATACTGGCCTTAAAAATCCCAGAAAACTATAAGCATCAATTTTTCTGCTGATGGTTGACTTTTTTTTATTTTTTAAGTTTTAATTGTGGATTGAGTGAAAGTTTACAGGGCAGATCATCAGTTTTACATTAAAAAATCATACACC